AAGAATCGTTTTTTAAGCCTCTGGATGCAATAGGACACTTTTTCAAATTACCCGAACCTTTTTCAGGGCTTCAGTAAAAAAAACTATTTGTTTTAGAGTGTGTACGTTGAAATTAGTGTTTTTTTTTGTAAACTTGTGGCTCCTCTACCATTCTTAAACTGCTTTATTTTATTATGAAAACGTTTGCATAATCAAAAAGTCATTTGAAAAGCTCTAATTAAATACAGGACAGAAGAAAGGACAATACTTCCAATTTTGTCCTGTTCTCTACCTTGATAAATAGAGACTACGAAAAAGAACCAAAAATTTATTTCGTGGCAGATAATTATTAGTTGGCGTTTGCACAAGGTTATGGTTGTAAATTTGAGCTTTTGTTTACACAGTTAATTCACATTTTATTTCGTTAAGATATAACTAATTAAGTTTTAAGAGTTCTTATCATTATTTGAGATAAATCAGTAATAGTTCTCGTTGCTTCGTTGCGCCCCATGAATACATTTATAGATTTATGTAACATAATTTTATTGTCCATGCTTGATCCTATTCATACACCATTGATGTAGGACGAAAACGGATAGTTAAACACCTTCAATAACTAGCATTATCATTTTATTTGTAGAAACTATTCTTTCACTATCTTCAATATCTATAAATCATCGTAGACAAACGTATCTTGATAACATGACATCATGTTCCGCACTTCAACGTAAACAAAAACAACCGAATACATCATCAAGTATACCTCGAGTATGAGAACTATTGCATCAAAGCATAATATAATGATAAATGGACAATAATATCTTTTTCAGTTGCAAGTTAATCTTGAACATGTCTTTGGTTTTACATCAATGTCGAATTCACTTATAAGTCAAGATCATTCAACGGTAGCATATGCCGCCGGGTAAAATTATATTCATTTTACAAAAATGTGTCTATTATCCGTGCACATACTTTTCTAGTCGTACTGTTATTCTCTTTAATAAAAATACTCATAAACAAGATTTTATTATCAGCACAGCCTGTAAAACTATAACATCATTATCACTTTCACCAGATGGCCGATATTTAGCAACAGGCGAAGTAAATATTTTAGTTCAGATACGAAAACAAATTCATTCTTGCTGATGTTATTAGTGTGGTCATGATCC